CCAAGCCTCTGGAATCCCTGATCCCCCATTCCCATCCCATCCCAAGCCTCTGGACCCCTGATCCCACATTCCTATCCCAAGCCTCTGGAATCCCTGATCCCACATTCCTATCCCAAGCCTCTGGAATCCCTGATCCCACATTCCTATCCCAAGCCTCTGGAATCCCTGATCCCACATTCCCATCATGGAATTTGGGGATGGTTTGGGTGGGAAGGGATTTTAAGGCTCATCCCATTCCATGTTCAGGGACACCTCCCGCTATCCCAGGGAATCCAACCTTTCCTTGGACACTCCCAGGGATCCAGGGGCAGCCACAGCTTCTCTGGGAATTCCAGCCCAGCCCCTCCCCACCCTCCCAGCCAGGAATCCCTTCCCAATCTCCCCTTTCCCAGCGGGATCCATTCCCTGTTTCCCGTCATTCCCGCAGGTCCGGAACGAGTTCTACAAGGACACTCAGGGTGTTCTCCTGGTTTACGACGTGGGATCCAAGGAATCCTTCGATTCCCTGGATTCCTGGTTGGCCGAGATGAAGCAGGAGCTGGGACCTCATGGGAACATGGAAAACGTCGTCTTCGTCGTCTGCGCCAACAAGGTGGGAATTCTGGAGCTTCCCGGAATTCCCAGAATTCCCAGAATTCCCGGCGGGAGCTCCGGTGGGTGGGAAGGGTGGGAAATGGTGCTGGGATGGAGGGAAGAGGTTCCAGGAGAAATGTGGGAGGAAAAACAGGGATTTTGGGAATGTTTGTGAGGGAAAACAGGGATTTGGGAATGTCTGTGAGGAAAAACAGGGATTTTGGGAATGTTTGTGAGGAACAAGAGGGATTTTGGAATGTGGTTTGTAGGGAATTGATTCCAAGGGAATGTTTGTGAGGAAAAACAGGGATTTTGGGAATGTTGGTGAGGAATAAGGGGGATTTGGGAATGTTTGTGAGGGACAAGATGTTGGGAGGAACAAGAGGGATTTTGGGAATGTTTGTGGGATAAAATTGGGATTTGGGAACGTTAGTGAGGAAAAACAGGGATTTTTGGAATGTAGTTTGTAGGGAATTCATTCCAGGAGAAGGTTATGAGGAAGCAGAGGGATTTTGGGAATGTTTGTGAGGAAAAACAGGGATTTGGGAATGTT